GAAGATGCTTCCTTATGGAATGGAAGGGTTATAGATTACAATGGAATTTTGGAGTTTGATATCTCTGGTTCTTTTCCAAACAACATTGTGCTAAAAGATGATGAGTTGCGGGGGAGAGGAGGGGAATAATAATGTTTGATGGTCAAATAAATTTGGGAAATACTTCTTGCTCTATCTCCCTCTGTTGCAGCATCACATTGCGTATTAGCATGTTGAAAGATCTGGGCAGCCGTAAAACTAAGATATAGAGGGGGGGTGCCAAAAAAATGTATGCACATGACTTGTATTCATCTTTTGTTATGGGTATATATTGAGTATTATAATTTTAATACAGTTTTTTCCTCTCTTAAAATGTGTGTACATTTTTTTGTCACCCTCTATATGTGAGGCAGTTAAAGTCAGAGCCTAAGCAAATCTTATGGTGAGAAAGCACACCATTTAGAAAGAGTCTAGCTTGATTCTTCAGAATAAAGCAGGGGGATCAATGAGAGAAGGGGTGCCCATTCACTTCCTGAGCAAAGCAATTTAAACAGAGAAGTGCCTCTCTTTTTTCCTTTTCCCATCTATTTCTGAATTTTTATCCTCATCATATTAGCAATACCTTTAAGACCTAGGCATGAAGACTGTACCTCTCTCACAAAACTCAGCATTCTCCTTCAATATGTAATTTACAGTGGACATGGACCCCATGATCTTGCAGAACCAAACAGTCCCATCTCTTCATTTCCATGCACAACCATCCCATCCACATCTCTGTGAGGATGAGCCTAAGCCCCAGTACTTCTGTGGATGCTGAAATGCATGGAAGGAGACACAGATTCAGTATATTTCTAATTAATAACCTAACTCCTAATTAGATATTTATCTTAGTATTAGTTCATTATCTTACTTTATTTTTTAACTATATTACAGAAAGCTATGTCAATGGTTATATTATGTCCATCTATCTAAACTTCTCCCTTTTATCTTTATTGGTTTGCCTTCATTGGTGTTCAGGATATTATTTTTATGCTCTCTTTGTGAATAGTTTAATAATGTATTTTATTGATGTTTCTGTCATTATTAAATAGTTGTATATAGTGCAAGTGCTTGAGAAAGACAATGTTAATTTGAGAATTAAAGTAAATTTATCTTTTTTTAATTTTTATTTTATTGGGGAATTGGGGAAGGGGAACAGACAAGTTGCTGTCCTTGTGTTCTTCAGTCTAGTTGTGGAGGACGTCGCTTCACTGACCCATGTTGGCATTATCATTGCGCTTTTCCTGGCAGTCGGTCGCTGGCCATTGGACAGCCACTCACGGCGTCTCACGGTAGCTCATGTCAGCTGCTGGCTACTCACGCTGGCTGCCAGCCACTCATGGTAGTTCACGGCAGCCCCCTGCAGCCCCACTGCAGCCTATGCCATCACCGGCGACTCACAGCAGCCCAACTCCAGGTTGAGCTGTTGTTCACCATCTTATCTGTAGAGGGCGCAGCGTCACTGACCCTCATGTGGGATCCAAATCGCAGCCCTGCTGCTCAGAGCCGGCAATCCCAAGCCAACTTTTAATCAATGCACCACATGGCCGGCCCTAAAGTAAATTTATCTTGAAGTAGCAATGATGATATAGATGTGGTTAGTACTGTTCATATAAAGTGTTAAACTTTCTTTCTCCTTTACAGCCAACATATCAATTGTAGATATAGATACTAACCAGGAGGAGAACATAGCAACTTCATCTTCTGGAAACAACTTTGGTCTTGACTTGAAAGCAGATGACAAAATATATTTTGGTGGTCTGCCAACACTGAGAAACTTGAGGTAATTCAGTGTATTTTTAGAGCTAAGGATTAAGTTTTAATGAAATGGCCACTATGCTCACTAATGTTCTGAAGTTTTTAATTACAACAGGAATGTCATATAACCTTTAGTTGCAGAGAGGCCTAATAAAAAAAATCACGTTGCATGATTAGAACAACACCAGGATTTAGAAACCAAAGGATTAATTTGATATCTTTGTTGATGAGATGGATTGGAATCACTGTTTCCCTTATAGTCACCTGATGAAAAGATTAATAAAAGTAATTAAAGGTAGAAACTAGAGTTGGATATGGGTCTTGTAATTGCTGTTCCCCTTGCACATTCACTGGAGATAATGGCACTCTGACATTGCTTAGTGTTCTGAAAATTAGTGTTCTAGGATGCTGTAAGTATAACCTATTTTCTTGCTAAGCATTAGCATGATAATGGTGGATTGGAGCTTTCCCATAAGCCTAGTGCTAAAGCTATATTACCTATTCTCATGCCCATGCCAACTTTTTTTTTTTAAACTTCACATATGTTTTTTTGGATTACAGCATGGGGAGATATATTTAGCTCTTAGTTGAGTTAGTTCAAAAAATAAAGACAAGTAACTAAAAACTGTTAGAAAATATTTCATGTGATATTTAATTAACTTACTGCTTGTTATAAAACACCTTATAAGAAATTAGTTATAGGGTAGTTGATGCTTAATAAATGTTAATTGAATTTAATTAAAATGGGATGAATTGGTTTGGTTAAACCCTAAGAACTTAATACAAATACAGGCTACCATGTTTTTAATGTTTGTTTTTTTAATTCGTTTTTAATGGTTAAAAAAAAAAAGTCCTGTTTAGGTGTTTCTACTCTAAAAAGACATGTTACAATTGGAAGGTTCTTAGCATAACTGAAAAATATGCTCAGCAATGATTTACATATTTCCCAAATGAAACTTCAGCTGCATTTTATGATAGCACACAGACTCAGGTGTACTCTTCTCCCTATATCTAAAACTCATGGACCAGGCAACTGTGTAATTACCAGTCTTTCAATGGTCTAACTTGATAAGCTTCATGGTGCAGATAAACTGGCTCAGCATTTGTCTACATTATAAGGTATTTGTGTTAGGAATATAGATTTAAAGTGTCTGGTCAGAAAAATTCTTGCAGATCTAATGTATTTGTATAATGACATTATTCATTCAACATGTATTAGTTGAGCATCTGCTATGGGCTGGACACCATATAAATAGTAAGGATCCAGCAGTTGTTCAAGTCTAAGATTTACTGGCAAGATCATTAACTAAATTCTCTATGAATGAATTAAATATAATAAAAATCAGGCTATCCAAATGTACCTTCATTTATTCTATGGATGACTTGGTTTTAATTACCATAAAGTGATATTTAGGAATTATGTACAAAGGTGTATATGTTAGCTTTACTGAAATGAGGATATTATTTTGCAGACTGATCTAATCAGTCTTGATTGCTAGGATGTTTTTACTTTCACAGTATAGCATTTCATAAATATAATATTTTTTATGGTATGGCACATTAATTTAAAATAATCTTTAGACATATTCTGATTAACAAAGAAGTCGTGCATTCATGGTTAGCTGTTATTTTGCCCACCGACAGGATTTTAATATGATAAACTACAAAAGATGTGGTAAATATGAAGTATTTTACATATGTTAATTTCAAGCTGTTTGAGAGACAGTATTTATAAACTACTTATAAATACTACAGCATAGCAACATTTGTGCATTTTTCCATTCATAAGATTGAGAGAAATGAGTACTTTAAATTAATATTCCAAAATTAAAAAAAAAATTTTCCAAGAAAATAATGTGGAAAGTAGTCATCTTTGGATTCTAATTTCACTGTGGTCAAGGGCATACATCTGTTTTCTGTGCTGTAGATTTTTAAACCCCTTTTCTTTAAAGATCCCTTTGAGATGCTTTTTAAGAAATATTTATGATTAAAGTTTATTGTTTTACTAAATGAAAATATAATTATAAGTTAATTATGTTGTTTTTTTTTTTCCTCTTTCCTTTGACCTAGTATGAAAGCAAGGTAAAATTTAAATTCATGCATGCTTTCTTCAAGTGCATGGGTTGGGTAAATGGGGCTTCTTAGATACAGCAGCGGTGCAGCAACAGAGCAACACCTATGCAGCTTTATTCATCGTATGTTTCATGAGCAAGTAATGCATTCTGAGATAGCTCTCATGCTGCCCTTTGCTTACAAAGATGCTGCTGCTTATCCACCATCAAATGGGCTGCCACTGTGCTCGTTTCACCAGCCGTAGAGGATGGATTTGCTCTGCTGATTTGTTCAACTGCCTGCGCACAGTGCCCCCTGGGTGCACACACTCAGCAGCACACACGCAAAGGGCAGCTGGTCAGGTTTATGGGCACAATCTAGTTCTGGGCAACAGAGAGCCAAGTGATCTCTTGGGTTGCGCCCTGGACTCTGATCTCTAGTACCATGCTGCCTGCTGAAAAACCAACCTGTGCTCCCACATGCTTACCCATTGCCTTGTTGCTTTTTGCAAGCCTGCAAATATGCAAACATTTACATGGCCCTTGCACCTCTTGGCAAAACTGCTTATTTCTTGCCATGTTTATTTAGAATTAGCTCTGGAGCCAGATAAAAGGAATCTCTGGAAATATACTATGTTTACTACATGTGTTTGCATTCACAGTAAAGAAGTTTGTGGACAGTCCCCTAGCTTCTCAGGAGCATTTTGATTCCTATTTACATAAAAGCTTTGAGCAGCAGGCCTCTGTCAGTGGTTGATCAAACCCCAGAGATGTGCAGGCTGGCTCATACTAGCTAGAGCTCAGGCCTGGCATATCGGTATTTCAGAGCCTAACCATGCCATATTTCTGGAAAGGAGATAATGAAGCTGAAGTGATCCAAGAAAGTTTTAAAGCAGAAACTAGGCTTATAATGCCAGAAATTAGAATATGTAAAAATGAAAGTGTAAAAAAAGAAAAAAATTCAAGTTGTTTTTATCACAATACAGTTATGAGACCCATCTTGCTGTTTTGCAGAGATGGCTAAAAGGCAGAGGCTGGCTTTCAATGGAAGTATGTGATAATAAACTCTGGCATGACACTGTGTAGCTTTGTAATTTTGCCTTTGAGGCAAACAGAGGAAACAGAGACCTGTGGTTACCATTAGGAGTTTGATCACCATATGTGATTGTTTATCCCCTGTGATTTTCATCACATCAAGCTTGCTAAATCATTGTTTTTTGAAATGGTTCTTTGTATTTCCATAAAACAGTGAAATATATAACTTGTAGGAATGATTTGCTTTATTGATAAGGTCTCAGAAAAAAATTGTGGTAAATCAGTCTTCCTCTAAAGAAAAATATGGAAACAAATAAACATGCAAATGAAATTCGCCCATTCCCTCCCTTTATACAATAAGAATATAAGAAGAGTCTCACCCTCTAGTTGGGCGTGTTATATATAATAACCAACTAAAACAGAAGGATAAGACCTTGGCAACAAGGGGAAATGATCAAATAAAATAAAACAGTTCCCAGAGAGAGAGGGGAAAATAGAAAAAATACCTGGCATGACATGAATCACTTGATATACACTGCCAGGGTCTGATTTGCTTTCCCACTTGTTTTTCCTCATGTGTTTTTTAAAACAACAAACAAAAAAAGGAATCTTGGCATCATGGGACAATGTCAGGAGAATTAATCATTATCTTAATAAGTATAATATTTTGGTGTTGATTGGACAGTTTTTACAGATGCAGCAGTGTATTATTTTTTTCTCTTCCTGTAGACCAGCATTGTTTAATATGGCAGCCACTAGCTACAGTGGCGATTTAACTTTAAATTAAATAAAATTAAATAATAATAGTTTGTCATTCACATAAGCTACATTTCAAGTGTTGATGGTGACCTGTGGCTAATTACTAAGTGTACAGAATATTTCCATCATCCCAGAAAATGCTGTTGGGCAGTGCTGCTATAGACTGAATAAAGAAGTGTCGTCATTATTGACATCCTGCTAGCTTACGTTTACTGAGCACTGACTGTGTGCTAGCATGTTTATCCGTGTTTAAGAGCAGTGAGCAAAAAGTAAACATGCAGATGTAGTCTGGGTCTAGAAGACATTGTTAACTTTATTGGAAAAATTAAAGTATGTTTTGTAACTTTGGTTGCTTTATTTTGTTATTGCTCCAATATAGAATAAGAACTTTGGGATAAATATGTAAATCCAATTTTAAAGTATCTTTTTTCAGACTATGTAATTTAAAAAAAAAAGTTTTTTAAGCTTTTATTTTTTTAATGTTTAAAGGTTTAAAGAGAAATATAATATTATCTTTTTCTTCAGCTAACCCCCCCAACATGTCTCAATGACAAAAATATTTTATTTTCGAAATAAATGTTTCCACATTTTTTTCCTAAATTTCAAGGAAGATTTTATTTAACTTTTCTTGGTATGTGGTTTGATTATGCTGCCTACACAATTGTCTGCTCTTTGGTGGAAAAAAGAGGTACGGTTCATTATGCATATAATGAACTGAAGAAGTCAGTGAATTCCTGTACCTTGTAGTATTTACATGCTGTGGTGAGATTATTTTTCAAAGGGAGAGGAAGAAGGACTACATAAAAGTTACTTCTGCAGGCTGCTATTAACATCCACTTAATACAACCAGCAGATAACAGAAGCATAGTTTCCTGGGTACGCGTGTGCACCTGTGTGTCAGTTTTGCTCTGTATGGATTGTGTCCGGTGGTCACAGACACTATACTGCTTTTGCCCTAATAATGTTGCTTTTGTTTTCCATGTAACTTTTCAACAGGCCAGAAGTAAATTTGAAGAAGTATTCTGGCTGCCTCAAAGATATTGAAATTTCAAGAACCCCATATAATATACTCAGTAGCCCTGATTATGTTGGTGTTACCAAAGGATGTTCACTGGAGGTTGGTTTGTTTTTATTAGCTTCCTAAATACATTCACATCAGATTTCACTTACTTATTTGGGTGCTTTTACAGGGACCAGTTCCTTGTTAATATGTTTTAAATTCTGACTGACCCTAGTCTTAACTAGGTGTAAATGATAAAGCAAGAATGAAGCACTTCTATAAATTACTATAATCAGTTGAACTTAGAAAACAGTATTATGAAGGCCCAAAATTGTGAGCCAATTTCCATATATATAGTACTTCATAGCACATATTTTCAATATTAATCTCTTCTTTGGTTCTCTCTTCCTTTCCAACACCATTGTTCCTTTTTTCTCATTTTTATCTGTTTTAGATTTATTGTATCTTTAAGTATTGTATATAGCTTTTTGGAATATGTTAGGAGTTTATACAAATAGTAATAATTCACACCGTAATCACTAGTGCATAGCATCTTGTCTACTGCTTGGAAGTCAAACTTCCTTTACTTTGAAAATGACTAGAAACCATCTACAAACACTCGTCTTTGACATGACTGCCAAGTCTCTTGTTGTCAGATATCTTCAGTATCTTCTCATTGTTGCCAAAGCAGCCCAGCAGCCCCCTGATTTCCACTTGACTGTTCTGATTCTTTGATAGTGGCTGGCCTAGTGAAAGAGAAACACAACAGGTGCCAGCTCTGCTCTTGTAAAACATCTATAAGCAAGAGCCAATAGTCATCAGCAAATATTAGTGAGAATTTTATCTGAATTCTGAAATTGATGAGTTTCTTTAAAAAAGAAAATGTTAAATATACCATACTTATAAATTTGAGTTACCCTGATATGGCACAGCTATTCATTTTAGCTGCTTCCTCCAATTAAAATTATTTTAAAGCATCACAAGGAGAAATGAATGGCAAATGGGCAGAAAGACAAAGTGAATCCACCACTGAGACATCAGGTTTAAGGACTGGAACAGAACTTTCATGGTCTTTATTGTGCAAAGCACAGGCTCCAATTTGGAATTAGACACAGACATCCACCCTGAGAAGCTTAGGAATAAGAAAAAAGGAAATACATAATACAGGACTGAATCTCCAAGAATCCATACTGACCTCGTCAAGCTTTACTGACAGTTTTACTCTTTCAAAGCCTAACTCTCATCCACATACAAAAGAAATATACATAAGGATGGAAAATTTGTCCAGAAAATGAATAGTTGAAATGTGTGGAAATGATGATTCTGTAAAGGAACTTTTCAGTAACCAGGAATTATTTTGCAACTAAAATATGAGGTAGAAATTTGATGTGGATAAATACTGAAAAGTCTGTACAGTAGTTTTATCTAAACTATCTAAAACTCTATGATTTGAATATTGGAATAGAAAGTAGATTATATACTTGATAACACTTATGTCACTTAATTGGGTCTGAAACACTGTGAAGAAAAATATCCTGCATTAAAGGATTCCTTACTTCTACTCCAGCAAAATTCAAGCCTTTTATTTTATTTTTAAAATATTTTTATTAAAATACAATATTATATTACTTTCAGGTATACATTGTAGTTATTCCCTATGCTAAAGATAGATGGGAGGGGGTTTGGGGGCAGGGTGAAAAAGGTGACAGGATTAAGAAATACAAATTGGTAGTTACAAAATAGTCATGGAGATGTAAAATATATGGAATATAATCAATAATATCACAATAACTGTGTATAGCGCCAGGTGGCATAATCAGGGGGGTCACTTCCAAAGTTCAGGTCTTTTAAAATGAGCATTTTAAACACTAAATGCCCAACTACATGGGTTTGCTTAAATAAATCCTAGCACATTCATACAATAGAATGTCCTCCTGCCATTAAAAATGATGATGAAATCTGTGTTGACTGACAGGGAGCTATCTCCCACGTATGTAGTGAAGAAAGAAGTTACAAATGAACATGCCCATCAGGGTCCAGTTTACATACACATGGAGAGGAGGAGAGAGGAAGCAGGCTAGGTTGTGAAAGATAAATGAATGCATGCATCAATGAATTCATGAACCAATTATAAAGACTATTTGTTTCAACGCAGCTTTGAGATGGGGGTACGGTGATTTTTGCTTTCTCCTGTTTGTACTTTGTTACTGTCTAACATGTTACTATTTGAATATATTATCAGCAAGGGCACTTTCATTTTGAGAAGAAAACTGGACTATGAAATATTTGGTTCATTTTTTTTAATTGAATTTTAAAAATTCCTTAGAGTGTATTTATGCATTTGATAGCAGTGAGCATCTTTACCTTGGGCTTATCTCTGAGGAAGAATGCAGAGACCATGGTCATACTCACCTGTAAAACAGTCGATTGAGTATAATCAAGGGATTAATTGCAGTGTTTTCAAGGGAGATTTTGCAAGATAGATTTAAACGAGAGGAAAATTTTATCTTTCGATGATAATCTCTATTATAAATAAAAAATTCTAGAATAAAAACAGAGGCCAGGATTTTTATTTTAACCCCACCTGCTCAAAAAAATTCAGTTAGAGCTGGAAAGAGTATTTCTTCAGTTGCTCTTCATCTCTTCATGTGACCATGGGTTTTCGTGCTTTCTAAAACTACAATGTATTCCATAACATTGAGCTCACTGAGGAATGAGGTGGAGAAATTAATTTAAATTTTCATTTCTAATTCTTTCTTGTCTTCTCTCTCTTTTCCCACAGAACGTTTACACAGTTAGCTTCCCCAAGCCAGGTTTTGTGGAGCTGTCCCCTGTGCCAATTGGTGTGGGAACAGAAATCAACCTGTCCTTCAGCACCAAGAATGAATCTGGGATTATTCTCTTGGGCAGTGGAGGGACACCAGCACCACCCAGGAGAAAACGAAGGCAAACTGGACAGGTACCCTCACAACTAGTTAATAATGCGTTTTCCCTAATGCTTACATGATGCAATTATTTTATAAAGAGATTGGTGAGGCATTTAAGGTTTATAAATTGCTTTTATATTTTTAGTTTCACATTATTTATTTTCACTATCATCTTCTCAGGACAATTATCTCGACTAGGACTTTCCTGTTGGGCAATTCCAAGTGCAGTCACACTTGTATTTGCACCTATATTTCATATAGGTTTATCATACGCACACACGCATGTGTGTGTGTGTGTGTGTGTGTGTGTGTGTTAATTCCTAGGAATATTATTCAGCCATTAAAATGATGAAATTTTGTCATTTGCAGCAATATGGATAAATCTTGAGGGCATTATGCTAAGGGAAATTAGTCAGAGAGAGACAAAACTGTATGACCTCATTTATATGTTGAATCTTGAAAAAACAGAAAAAAATAGCAACCACAAAATAAGCTCATAGATATAGATAACAGATTGGTGGTTACCAGAGACAGTGGGTGGAGGGCAGGTGAAATGGGTGAAGGGGATGCAAAGGCACGAACTTCCAGTTATAAAACAAGTAAGCCATGGGGATGTTACATACAGCATGGCAAATATAGTTAGTAGTACTGTATTGCTTATTTGAAAGTTGCTAAGACAGTAGATCTTCAAAGATCTTATCACACACAAAAAAAATCTGTAATTTTGTGTGGTGATAGATGTTAACTAAATTTATTATGGTAACCATTTTGCAATATATACAAATATCAAATCATTCTGCTATACACCTGAAACTAATGTAATGTATGTCAATTATACCTCAATAAGAAAAAAAAACAAGAAGAAAAGAGGGGGAGAGAGAGCTCTCCTCCACGTACAGGCACTGAGAGGCCATATGAGAACACAGTGGGAAGGTGGCTGTTGGCAACCCGGGAAGAGGGTTCACACCACAACCTGACCATGCTGGCACTGACCTCAGGCTTCAGCCTCTAGAACTACGAGAAAACAAATTTATATGATTTAGGCATACTGATGATGGTGATGATGATGATGATGATGATGATGATTTTTAAAAAGCAAGGGGATAAAATTTACATTAGTGGTTACTTCTAAGATGAGGAAGCTGACGGATGGGATGGGGAAGGCGCTCACAGAAGATCCTTCTTACCCTAAGTGGTGGATTTTCAGATATTCATTGAATTGTAAGTTGTGGACATAGCTGTATCATTTACATGTATGTCCCTTATATTGCGAGGAATGTATCAAATAGTCATACTACAAAATATTTTTGAAGAGTAGAGGGAGAAAAGCTGTTATTTTATCTCATTCCTTACTGCATATAAACACTGACTACGTATAAAATATAAATGCTGTCCTAAATGTTTCACCCTTTAATCCTGAAAAATAAAACTATTTTCTCACTATTCCAAATCATAATCTAGTTATAGTAAGAGGACCAGATCAGACATTCTGAAATAGATTTCCAAAAAGTATATTTGTTTCCTAGGTCATTGTCAAATAATTGAGCACCAACTATTGGGTCCCTATTTCTTCTCATCAGGACTAAATAAACTTGAGTGGTCAGCTTTCAGGATAGTTCTTAACATAGAACATGATCCTATTAAAACAATTAAAATGAGACAATATTAAGTACTACAGTACAAAGTAAATTAGAAATAACATGTGAATGTTTCAACATTCTAATGATAAGGAATATTGAGCTTTTAAAATCTCTTAGTAAGTACTGTCTGAAAGAGGAAACAACATTAAATAGTTCAATGCTGATTAAATTGACATGTTTTTCAAAACTAACAGTTTTGATACCCGTAGGGTTATTTGAGATTATGTTCTGCTAAAGAGGTTTGAGACATCAATCAATGAATCAGCTAAGAACATTTTTAATTGAGTGAGTAGTTTGCAGTGGCCCCTTTGATGGATGGTGAGGATTGGATGGTAATCCGATCCTCAGGACATTTTGTGTTGGACACACAGCGACAGACAATTCAGTAAATCAGCGGAGACATGATGTTTGATTGAAACCATCTCCATCACCGCAGGTGACTCGTGGAGGATTATTGTGCAGCCGGTGCCCCTGTGTTCATAAGAAAGGGAGCACACGTGGAATCAGCTTTGGGGACCAGGGCTGCATTCAAGCTCCCTGGGGTTCATAATCTGTTCTCAAAGCTATGCTGGTTGCTATAGTAACAGTAGCAAGAAGAAAGCAGGCATGTTTGTGGATGAAAAATTGTCTTCCTTCTTTTCTAAATGACGGAGACAAGTTACATATTGGCGATAGCAATCTATTCCACCAGCTCAGAGAGCAAACTGAAGTGTAAGCGCTCAAAACGCCATGAGGGTGGGAGTCAGACCTGATTTCCAGATGCTGGCTGTCCACTTGTGAATCTACAGGAGAGGGATTTTGTGGACACCCTTTGTTTCCTGATGGGTTTTGTGAGTGAGAGACTCAGTGCAGGCACAGCTGTACATTCAGCCTGGCAAATCTGCTTTGCAGAGGCTGCTGTATCACTACACCCACTTTCCACATTGTCTCACAAGCAAAAATGGGAAATGAGTGAAAAGCTGTTTCCAGCTGCTTTCAATATTTTGTTTAAGAAAATACTGAGTCTTAATTTCTCGGGTAAGATCTCAGAGCCGATAAATCTGCAGTTGTGTCAGAGAACCTCTAATGCTAAGTCATGGAGGAGACTCCTCGCTAATCCTGAATAACCGTTTGCTATTGCAGGCCTATTATGCGATATTCCTGAACAAGGGCCGTCTGGAAGTGCATCTCTCCACAGGCGGGCGAACAATGAGGAAAATTGTTGTCAAGCCAGAGCCAAGCCTGTTTCACGACGGGAGGGAACATTCCGTTCACGTAGAGAGAACTAGAGGGTAACAATAGCCCTAGAGAACTTACCGTCCTAACTAACACGCTCTCCTTGGCAGCATTCGTCTCTGACTGGGCCTTGGTGTGGATGGACGTATGATGCATCGCCACACTATCAAGTAGCTTAATTTCTTCTTCTTTACATTTCGTCCTTCAGAAACCCCATTTACCTGGGCCCCTAGGAGTTCTACCCTTAACATTTTTATTCTGTGCGGCTCTCCGCTCCACCTTGGGGAAAAAGCAAATGCATCCTCTGAAGCTATAGATAAGAAAAATCCTCCCTCTGCACCTCTCACAGTCTCTGCTCCAATAAGGTATGCACATAATGAGACGCACAGAATAACTCAGCAGGAGCCAGCAGCCTTTGGCAGCAGCTAGTTCATGCAGGTTCCAAAGCACTGATGGCAGCTGCTTAGAAACCTGTCACAGATACGGAGCGTGGCAGCAGCTGCAGGACCTACTGAGCACTGGTATGAGCCTGCCTCCTCCCTGCCCCGCTCCGAGGTGCACAGGGTCCCTGCAGAGTGGCTTCATGGAGTAGAGTTGAGGGGGAGAAGGGAAAGGCTGCTATCCTGCCATCATTGCATGTAGGCGGCGTCTGCGGGTCCATGAAAGCCCTGGCCTCCCAGCAATGAGTCAGGGAAGGGAGTAGGCTAGAAGAGTGTTATAAACTGACCACACATTCCTTTGGAATGCTTTATACTTAGTTTATTAGGGAAGTCATCCGTCTATTTCATCCAAATGTTATATGACAAGTCAGAGGGGTAATTAGTTTAAAAGGACAATTAGAGAAAAACAGAAGCCCAGAGACTTCAGACCTCCAAACCGTCAATCCAGTTATTAGACTGAAGACCCAGAAAAGAACTGGAAATCAAATCTGAGGGAACCTCAGAACACAGACAATACTTTAAATACAACAACTTTATGGATATGTAGCAATAATTTAAGTAAGCAGATGCTATTCTATGATTAAAGATTATCGAATTTTCTAATTATCCACTTGTGTGGATAACAGTTTCGATAAGTATTAAAAATTCCTTATCTGCTAAGCAAATGTGAAAGCTTTCCTTGGCTCATTCTTTTGTTGTTGTTGTTGTTATTATTATTATTATTATTATTATTATTAAGCCTTAGGTTGTGGGCCGAATTGATACTAAGCATTCTTGCAGAGGTCTACTAACTGAGATGTTTAGAAACCATGATTAAGACAATGAGGGATCAATATTTGGACAAACTAAGAACTTTTACTAATCTAATAGCCAGAAAAACCATAGTAATGGTCTCTGAGGAGAAATGCAAACTGAAGTTTCTCATTTGGGAATGCTCTAGAATATTGATTTCACATGTCTTCTAGACTACATTTTCGGTCCTTTGCCAAACTTCAATCCTCTTTATTATGGGGAGGACATTTTAAAGTCTTGAAACTTTAAAGAATTTTAATAAGCAAATGCAGATTTGGGACATATACTTGCCCCCAAATCATCCAAAATATGTTATTGTGTAGAGAAAGGGCTCTGACATTCCCAAGTGCATTGCGACGTTGTGCTAAGGTGTCCTTTTAACAGATGTTTCTTCAAGAAGGATATTTTATTATGTCAACCTCACAGCTGTTGGCCATCAATCCAACCTTTATTTGATTAAGCTCAGTGGATAGTACATCACTGAAAGCTGATCGCTCAGTTAATTGGCCATATAAACAAACAGTTTGGCCATTCGCTATTAATTAAAGAATAATGTATTGGACATATTAGTGCATAGTCACTGAACTCGGTGGCAAAGCAAGAACACATTTGCTATCATAATATCTCATTCAGCACTCTAAGGTCAAAAAAAAAATCACCTATCCTTTACGTAAGTGCTACAATTAACTGATTGACCAGAGATCGCCAACAACTCTAAGAACTTCACCCAGAAACATTTTTAATGTTTCATACCTATTCTATGGCATGCTCTGTGTCAAATACTAGAGAAAGATTATGTTCTGTAATCATTCTAAATGTATATGAAATCTGTATTAATATCCTATCATCACTGATTAGGAGATATTAACTAATGTGCCCCAAAATCACATAACTAGTAAATAACAGAGACAGGATTGAAACCCAGATAGACTTATATATGGCACGTCCATCTGAGCTCACCAACTCTTTGTTCTTACCTTTTTTGTGTGACCTCAAAGATTGGTACTACTTCATGTTGATTATGATACACTTATTACTTAGGAAATATTTGCTTTCTTCCAACACATTTCAGACCATACAGCTCAATTATCATTTATTTTTCTAAAACCCTAGATAAGATGGTAATTTTAATACCACCTCACAAAATCATCGGATTTTTACCAAATTGAGAGGCAAACTTTTCAAGGTTGTGCTTGGCCTTTTCTCTCCCTATCTGCCTCTCTTTCCCCCTCCTCCCTTAGTCTCTCTCCTTTTCTATCCCTTCATCTACAAGAATCTCACTTTGGTCACTTTGCTCTAATGCTGTGGTACTCCAGTGATCCCTTCTTCTAGAGCTGCTTTGCCCTCCGATCCTTCTCCTGGAGTCCACCGAAGGGCCAGTGGTTTTAACTGAAGCAAAACATTTAATCCTAAGAGCCTGGAATAAGATGCTTTGGCAAGTAGGTTTTTCCCCTCTATGAGAACATTCTTCATACAGGTATAGAATTAGGCTAAAATCCACAAAGTTACATGAGATATTTCAGGAATAATTTGGGATTTAGAAGGGGATCATGATTTGAATACTGAAACCCAGATATTTCTTTCCAAATTATGTTCAATGAAAAAAGGTTCGAATTCTGTTTTTCATGTAAATTACAAATGTCAGGGTACTTGTCTTAATATCTTCTTCTACGTATACAATCCAATTGGTGGTAGTTTGAAAAGAAATATCTTAGACCAATAATGCCGAACTCCAAAAATCAATCATTGAAACTGTAAGAAAACACAGCTGACTTATAATACTAATAATGTAATGTTAATGATAGTGCTTTTTGCACATAGGAGGTCCTCAGTAAAGTGTTATTGAAAAAAGGGAACATACCAGAATCATAATGGATATGTTGGTAATGTCCCTCTTTACAAAAGAATTAAATAAATGATCTGTAATAGGTTTCATCCTCCTAGAGTAGAAAACACAAGCAGGATTTAGCCATAGTCTTCTAGCAATGCCCTTATTAAGTGATAGGTCCTCAGCACAATCCCTTAAGTAATGTTTTCCCCTGTTTAAACTTCATTTTATAAACGAATGAAATGAGACTGAGCAAGATTAAATAGCTGGCTCAAGTTCACACGGCTAGTAAGTTTACACACTAATACTTAATCCCAATCTGTTCCTTCTGAAAGCTCATGTTAACTCAATGTCTCCACCCTGTGATGTAGTAAGAAAGAAACACTGATATGGTCCTTGGGGCACAACCAGACTAGAGCATCTAGGTCAGAAAGAAAAGGGCCTCTGGCTCTTTAAAAACTCTAATGAAGAGCAGAGATTTGCACTCCTTGGACAATCTTTAATAGTGGTTTAAACCCCTCGTGAAAACCCTTAGGGACAACGTTATAGTTTGTTAGTAAGAGGGTGCTTTTAGCCTAAGAAAAAAGGTATTGTGGGAGGGGGAGCAGAGGGGAAGTCTTCTCAGTGAGTCACATATACTTAGAAGTGAGTGGTTTTCTAAAAGTCTCATAAAAACCACCAACATTCTTAGGAATGAGGTTGAACCTCCTGAATTTTGCCAAAACACTCTTCCAGAGTCTGGTAAAAAAAAAAAAAGTTAAAATTCCTCCTGTTTTTTCTTTAAAACTAAATTCAACCTGCCTCTCCTATAGCCCCTGAACAATGACATTTCTGAGCCACAGCACAGTCCATTTGTTGTTCCATGCTCTTAGATTTGAATTGTCCCAAAGTGGACCAATTGCTCAATGCCCTTCCAAAGCATCTTTGCCCTAGTTTATTGTTTCTAGTTCTACATATGTTTTTTATTTCTTATAAAATCAAATAAAGTTGGCATTTTAGGACTGAGTTTTCAACCTCCCCAGTTGTGAAGTTAAATTTTCAACAATCCGTTTATGATCCTTGGGCTAGTGACTAACACTTATGACTAACAGACAGCCTCATGCTGACTGTTGGGACTAAAGTTCAGAATCTGCTTCTAGAACAAAAGAGAAGATGCATTTGGTCATTTTCATCATCAGAACTCTTTGTCTCCTTCTGATTCTTTGCCCCAGGATCCAAAGATTATTGTGAATAAGTACCATGAGGTTCTTATTTAGTAGTGTGTGAGTTAGCTCTCATGAGCAAATTAGGAAAATTAACAAAACAGCCACTAAGGAAAATCATCCCCAGGAACAATCAGTGTGGTGTTCTTGCCTGCCTCTTCTATTCAAAAGCCAGCAGCTACATTCTTTCTAAAATGTCCTGTAAGTGTTTGCAGTTGATTCCTGCAATCTAAGCTCTTAGGAGTACAGTTTGTCCCCTAGCAAGAAGATAATAGCTAGCACAAACCAAGAAAGAAAGAGCCAAGGAAAAGTGACCCCATGCTGTGCTAAACCCACTGAGCCTTATCCGATTAGACATTACTACACAGCACAGAAGCCTCACTCATGTGCTGGGCTGTAGGCCACTGTTGTCAATGCCTCCACAGGCAAATGTGACAGCTACACCATTGCCTCCTTTCAGTAAACTCTGAGGGAGGCAGAGGGACACGATGCCGAGAAACAATATCGTTTGTTTAATGGAGAATACCTAATCATCAAATTTGGGCTCACTCCAGAGCTGAAGGCAGGAGGGGCGAGGGATGGCACGAAAGAGTTTGATTCCAGTTGTTATGTGTTTTATACTTGTTTATTTTAAATGTTTTATCAGCATCTTTACTGTTCAAGTCGATGAAGACAGAAGGCATATGCAAAACCTGACAGTAGAACAGGCGATTGAAGTCAAAAAGCTTTTCGTTGGGGGTGCTCCACCTGAATTTCAACCTTCCCCACTCAGAAATATCCCTCCTTTTGCAGGCTGTATATGGAACCTTGTTATTAACTCTGTGTAAGTGAATCTCCTTGCTACTGTTTTTGTTTGTTTGTTTGTTTGCATGAGGATCACTGTTGAATCACCGCTATCTAAAATCATGGGGGGAAGGAAACAATGAAGAGAATGAAGAGCTTTGAGTTAGATTTAGAAAATTGTACTGATGGCCTTCAAAAGGGGGAGGGGGAATTTGATTTAATTGTAAAGAAGCAAGGTAAGGAAACATAAGAAAAACAACAAAATATTTCAATGTGATTATTCCATTAGCCCCATGGACTTTGCACAGCCCGTATCCTTCAAAAATGCAGACATTGGTCGCTGTACCCATCCGAAACCCCATGAGCGTGAAGATGGAGCTGTCCCAGCTGAAATCGTTATCCAGCCTCAGCCAGTTCCCACCCCAGCCTTCCCAACACCCACCCTGGTGGCACATGTAAGTGTTTACAACCCATTGCTTTCTAAGTTTTACCTCACATGTTTAGTCCTTTTCAGAAGGAAGGTTATTCAGAATATCCACTATTCTCTCACTGCTAGAATTAGAGGATTGGTAACCTGTCTATAAAAACCTATTCTCCTTACATCTTCCTCGGATTACTTTCCTTTATATTTACCTGTCCTTTAATTTTCCTGTTTATAAAATGGCACATTTTCAATTGAAAAGTTAGAAAACACAGAAATGTCTTCAGAATCAAGAATAAAATCCAGGGCCGGCTGAGTGGCTCAGCTGGAAGCTCTGAGCAACAGCGGTTGGATTCCCAGGCTGAGTTGAGCTGCCGCTAAGCTGCCAACAGGTGGCAGGATGGCTCAGCTGAAAAGAAAAAAAAAAAGAAAGATAAGAATAAAATCCATCTATAATACCACCACACAGAGACAAGCATATTTGCATTTTACATAGATCTCATATATACAATTTGGTATTTTGCTTTTAAAATGGGTAATACATAATTAAAAATGTTTCTAAACATCATGTAAGTATATGTGTCTAACATGACTATATATGTGTGTGTGCAGATGTGTATGTAAGTAAACACACATATGTACAGAGACACAAAATATTTCAGAGAATGAGAGGGAGTATATCCTGGATTAGCTCATGGGCTCCAGAGTTACATTGCCTGGGTTCGAATCCCAGCACTCACACCTACTGTCTATGAATTTGGGAAAGCTACTTAGCCAATCTCTTCCTCAGTTTCCTCATCTGTACAATGAGGATGTTAACAACACGTGTCAAAGAGTTAGTATGAGAATTTAAAAAGATAAGGTTCTTTAAATGTCTAGCATATACTAAGCATTTAATAAATGGCACAGTTTTAGGGGAGACTGGTTAGCTTAGTGGGTTAGAGCATCATGCTGATAACACCAAGGTTGCCGGTTTGATCCCTGCCTGGGCCACTGTGAGCTGCGCCCTCCTTAAGGGCCAACTAAGTCATTGTAACATGAAAGTAATGTGCAACCAATGATCATGGCTGTCCCCCAATAAAATTTTTTAAATAATTAAATAAATAAATAAATAAATGGCACAGTTTTTATATATTAATGATCATAATGACCACTTTTAAGTGCTTACTATATGCCAACGACTGACAAAACAATTCCCATTGAATATTATATGTAATTCTCATAACAGCTCTATAAAATATATATAATCTCGCTTTGAACTGAGCTGATAAGTAACTCATGCACTGAGTTACTCACCCACTGACACAACCAGTAAATGGCAGGACAAGAATTTTAATCTAGTGGGTGTAACTCTAGAGCCTGGCTTCTTATCATTGCAACTCTCTGTCTTTACAATTCATTTTACTTCTTCCCCAGAGTGTTTCCAGTTTTTCACTATTAGAAACTATATTTTGTTGAACATTCTGTACAACATACTCTCTCACCGTTTCTGATTAGTTTTTTTAAAAATAGATTCTTAGAGGGGAATTATGAGGCCAAATGATAAACATGCCTAAAGTTCTCAACACAGATATCAGAATTGCTTTTTCTAAAGGTTACACCAATTTACATTCTCACCATCAGTGTATCAGAGAGGGTGGATCTCACTACGCTCTTGACAACACATGTATCATATTTATAATGCTTGCCAATTGATAGTTGAGTTGTACAGGTTTTGAAAACTCTTGAATATTTTATTCTCTTTCTTCATTTCCATGATGAAATTGGCACTTCTATAGAGCAGAGTGCTCCTTGTCACTAGAAATATTTACTAAATGAGAAGCCACATAACCATCTTTCAGGAAAACCAGTCATTTACTCTAAGTATCATTTCACCCTCTGTAAAACATGGATGTTATACCTACCTTGCCTACCACATGGGGTTGCTGTAAGAATCAAATGAGATCATGTATGTGCAAGTCCTTTGAAAACTGGAAGAAGCACACGGCTAATGAGGAATTCCTGCATTTGCTGAGTAACTATTGGGTTGTCGGAAAAGTCATGACACATTTTTGCAACAACAATATGCACCCAGTACTCTGCTGGGCAGTTTATATCCATTATTTCCTTTGATCCCCACAAACTATTAATTGTTTTATTTATGTTTATTTATATTGTTGGATGTATTATTAGCTCAATTTCACCAAAGAAAATAGCTATGATCACACAACACAACTAGCAAGTAGAAGGTCATCAGTCATGTGGGGATGAGTTCAAGGAGTGGGTTTTCTCCTAAGACATCCCTGAAATGGACCACAAAACATCATGGATTAATTTTTTTTTCCTTGAATCCAAATACCTACTTATAAAAATGATCCTATGAGAAAATAGATCCTGTGACGGCCAGTTGACTCAGGTGGTTAGAGCACAGGGCGCAGGGCTCATAACACCACGGTTGCCAGTTCGATTCCCACATGGGCCATTGAGGTGCACCCTCCACAACTAGAAGGCAACAACTACTCAACTTGGAGCTGAGTTCCCCAATAAACTTAAAAAAAAAATAGTTCCTAAGTTCTGAACAACTAACTTAGAATTATAAATTATAGTTGGCAGAAGCCCTAGAGATCATCTGGTCCAGTCACCATCTTATACGTGAAGGGTTTTACATGATATTTGATGTGGACTTGCAGCCTTTGCTTGAACACTTCATGGACAAGAATTTCCCAGTGTTATGATGAGGCAGGCTCTAGTTGTTACAAAGCCATTGGTCATAATAACATAAAAAGGCATCCCTAAAACCGCAATGGAATGATTGTGTTTCTGAAACCAAACACATTAAGTTAATATCTTCCCTGTCGAACACCCCTTGAAGGATTTGAAAATAGCTAAGTCTTCTCCTCCCCAACCCAAATATTCCATTATCTCAAGCATTCTTCATATGACCTAATTTCTAATTCCCAGATCCCCTGATCAATATTTTTAAATTTGAAAAATCTCTTTGAAAATATGGCACCATTCCATACTACTCAAAATGGAGTGCCCAGTTCAGGGGACAGCAGGACACCTCCTGCCATGGCCTGTCATCATATTCTATTAATACACCTGAGAATGCTGTAATGTTTTAAACAGATGTTTAAACTATTAGTTCACCATATTCAGTCAGCCAAAACCCTGATGGCCTTGTATCAGCTGAACTACTCTTGGATCAGGGCTTTCAGCCAGTCTATGTTGAATTGGTGTGGTTTATTGGTGGAGCACCCTGCCAGTCCTCAGCGATCACCTTTCTTTTCTAAGTGGCCATAAGAACTTTGTTTTTTAGCAAATCTCAAGCATATCCTTCTGTGGTTTCTAAAGATCACATTTTTCCTTTTTACTGAAAATAAAGATGCTTGCCCATCTGGGACTGGAGAGTTTTAACTCATTTAGGTTTTCTTATAAACATCTTTTCTCATTCCAGTTTCCATTTGCTCTCAGCAGTGTATGTTTTAACTTTTCCAAAACAGAACATTCCACTTAGTAGACCGGAGACAAGCAAAAGAGAAGTTGAATAGCAGTCCTACAGGTTGGTGTAGCAAGGTTTCAGAAGATTAGATAGAGCTAGAACAGACCTTCAAGATTCTGACTCTTAATTTCCATAAAAAGAAAGGAATCCTTTAGAGTGTGGCCAAAGATTTCACACATGATAGATAGTTGGCACCACAACCCAGGCATCTAAATTCTAACTGCTATCTCCTCTTGTCTTGGACATGGTAATTATTTATGACTGTGGTCAGAATTATTTAAAAATGTTCCATCTCTATTGAGTTGTAGAGTATTTAGGGTTTCAGATCTATGGAACTATATATATATATATATATATATATATATATATATATATATATCTTCTCTTTTAATTTAACTTCTTTCTCTTGTTTTTTTATCTTTTTTGTGGAG